GGTGCCCGCAGGACAGCGCTGCCCGGTGCTCGGCGCCGCCGCTCGCAGGGCTCCCCGCCCGGAGGAGGCGGCGCGGGGGGAGCGGGGAGAGGCCGGTCCCGCCCTGGGGCGGGTCCCCCGCGCCGGCAGAGCCCGCCGGACTCTCGGTACCACCGCCGCTCCCTCTCACCTCCCCCTGTCCATCTCTGCCGTAGAGCCCCCACTCTGCAGAGCCCGGCGGTCCCTGCTGTCGCCGCCGGGAACCGCTGCCCTCCTTCCCGGCGCGCACGGGGCACGGCCAGCGCTGGCAGAGAGGATTTCTGTAGCAGCTCCGCTGCGCTGCTCCGGCTCACAGCGGGCTCCTTGGCTCTCACGGAGCCTCACGGCCSCACCGAGGCTGCTCCGGCWGACACCGCTCCGGACACCSCTCCGGACACCCCTCCGGACACGAGCAGGGGTGAAGCCCAGAGCTGTGCGGTCACTGGCGTGTCACTCCAGGGAGGGGCAGCAGAACGCGCTAACCAGGCCATTTCAGCTCCTTTACGAAACTGGTGCTAAGCCTGGTTTACCCTGKCAGGTCCCCTCTGCATTTACAGAGCCCAGTTAGAACCCTGCTTGGAGTGAAAAGCAAATTGTATTTGGAAGCAGGAGGAATCTGTGCCTAAACCTGAAGGTGACAGTCGATATCTCATTGAGATCCTTTTCTTTATGAYTCCCTTCAGAGCAATCTGAGGTTGTTGACTGCACTGGCAATAAATTAATCTTTATTTAGAAGTTTATTTAAGAGAGACTCAATCCAGTCTCSAGTTGCCTCGTCCCAGATCAGCAGATGGCCCCAAGCCAGAGGAACAGACCATGCTTCCAAGAGCCATCTGCAGCCGTCCGATTGCAGTTTGACTGCCTGGGCCTGACATCGCTAATTATATCTGCCTGTTATTTCCTCTGAATACAGAGATGGTTCTGTCGGGTCAGTTGTTTGGGCTTGGAAATAACAGCCTAAAAAAAAATTTAAAACCCAAATAAATAGGGACAGTGAGGTTCAGGCTTGCTTGMGGCCAAAAAGCTCAACCCAGCCTGACACAGACCATCCTGCAGGCAGGCCATGGCCTCATGCTCTGGAAGACAATCAACAGCACAAAAATAATGACATCATGAGCCCTGGTGTCTGGATCAGATAATTAACCAGCGGTTCAACAGAGTGCATGCACTCTGCAGCAGGCAGGGCCAAGAAGCAGAGAGCAGCAAACCTCAGGGGGGCTTCAATAAAGTCAGGGCAACTCTCAAACACACCAAGAACTTGTTAAAACTCTGCGGATGTCAGCAGAATCCTTTCCATGGGTATCCCAGAGCTGTCATGGCCCTTTGAGGATGGAGACTTCCTGCCACCATCCTGAGCACCCCTCCTGCCCCAGAGTGGGGGTCCTGCCCATCCTGAGCTGYCTGCTGGGCCACACTGACCCCAGAGGCACAGATCAGGGACTGCATGGCTCTGCCCTGGGTACCCAAACTGGGCAGGCACTCAGACAAACCCGTTCTGGAAGCTGGGATGAACTTCACMCCCAGTGAAGAGGAGAGTGCCCTGAGTATGAGCCTCCGGGTCTGCTTATCCCTGGAAGCGAATTTCTGGCAGSTCTCTTCTGCAGGAAAGGCTCTGGGGCTCGGAGAGCATCTTCTGACCCTTCCCAGCTCYGGCAATACTTGTTTCCTGTCCTGAATCACAAAGGAGGGCAGGGAGSAGCAGCTGCTGAGCGAGAAGAGCCCCACAGAGCCAAGTTGTCCATCCCCTCTGCAGGCACTGGCGTTGCACCAGAGACACTTGGCCCTGCAGGTTTAACCTCACTCAGGAGGAAGACAATTTTCCTGTCTATCATGATATCTCCAAGTGTAATGCAGCCTGATGAGACAGCACAGATTGCTGGCAAAACACAGGCACCAGCACAGGCTGGCCCYGCTCCAAGGGCTTTATTCCACATTATGGCGCTGGAGGACCTGACCCGTGGCTGATAAGCGATATCAGCAGTTTTATCAGAGCCCAGCAGCCCGATACCTGCACCACTGCCTCCCTTCTCACACCGCGGGATGCACTTCCCCATCACCCAGAGCAAATCACTTTCTCTGCCAGCTTCCCCCAGACCCAGCAGAGGTCTCTGGCAGCCAGTGAGGAGTTCATAGCCCCGAGCAAGCTCTGACCAGTTGAAATCACTGCGGAGCAATGAAATCAGAGGAAATGACCTGTAAACGGCAGGAATGATTCCAAATGAAGCAGCAATTTAGATCCATTGTTTGGTCTGTCGGCTGGTAGACTATCTCTGGTAGTTTAATTACTTGYGTATTTGCCTTGAGAAGTGCAGCTCTAACAGTGGAAGATTTAAATCCAGCTCAGGAGTTTCTGCTTCACTGTCCTCGCCTGCTCCTGCTCGTTCTCTGCTGCCCAACCCCATTAGCTGCTGTAGCATCTCCCCGGATTGCCTGTGCAACACATTTGGGGGAAACTGGAACCCTGCTGAAGTCATTCTTTCCCCGTGAGCTAGGAAGGAATCGGAATTTCATCCTCTGATTCACCGAGAATGAATTCTTAATTTCCTTGCATTAAGAAACTCCTATCTTAGCCTTTTCTGGCTAAGACCAGCCCAARGCAGAGCCCGGGGTAAATCCTTCACCACCACCAAGCCGGCAATTATTCTGTGCCACTTTTACTGGCTTTACTAAATCAGGAGATCTGGGAACGATCTGGACTTATCTTGGTTATCTGAGATGGCAGCGGAAAGGAGAGATCAGACAGTGCCTGCTCAATCAGCCAGCGCTAAAGGAGCTACATTTGCAATTATTACACTCAGCCTTATCTCCTCAGGACAATTTCACCAAACTTGCTAAATCTGCCCGTGAAGAATAGACTGAAACGACTTGATTATTTTTCAGAGATTAAATAACATAATCAAGGATTGGAAATATTGAAGTCCAGAGCAGACAGAACTCTGGAAAGGCTCAGCTGTGGAGGTGGTAATAGAGTGGGGTGAGAGCTGGAGAAATCTGTTCTTGYTGTGCCCTGAAGCAAGGAGATGCASGCACTGATTGAGCCAATTACTGCCTGTCCCAGGAAGGCTTTGAGCCTTTTTCTGAAGGCCTGCAGCAGAGACTAAACCCAGACCGATAATCTTGCAGAACCAGAGAACGAGCGGTGCCTGCTGATGTCGCGCCGTGTCCCGTCGCCGCTGGGCAGGGACCGGGAGCGCTGCCCGGGGGCAAAGCTGCAGGAGCGCAGGTGACAGCTCATGCCATGCCCTGTGCCGTGCCCGCATCTCATCACGGTGGCGCTGCCGGGGCTGTGACACGCTTCTCTCGCTGTGACACGCTTCTCTCGCTGTGCGAATGCTCGCCCCGGCTCCGCACGGCGCAGACGGAAAGGCGAACTGATGTGATCCCGTCACGGCGCATCAGCGGCATTCCTGAGAAGCGCTCCCAGCAATGCCTCTTCTCTCACAGAGCAGCCTTGCCYTGTGCTCCCCAGGCCTCTCGCTGCCAAAAGAGAGCGGTCTTGTCTCGCAGGACGCTGCCGCAGCGCACCGGAGATGCTGGTGCAGGGCAGGGCGCCTTCCCCTGYCCYGTGCAGGCGGCTGTGTKTATTCATTCCCCCRGACTGTCCGCACCCTGGCTGGAGARTCTCGGGGGTRCTCCTTGCGGGACTCTCCCCCGCTTAGGCAGAGTGACTCCTCATCACACTCGGCTGCGCTGTTTCTGCCTCAATAGCTCTACTCCCTTTCTGATCTCGCTTTCCAACTGACACTCATTTTAATTGAGATAAACATCACAGCCCCTCCTGTGACAGACTCCTGCATCAGCACTCTGAGGTTCCTCATTCCTGCCTGCTCTCATGTTGACCTTCCCCTCCAGGAGTACATTCACACGCTGCTGAGCTGGGGCACCGGGCTGGAGCCATCCCCTTTGCATGACAGCCCCCAGGCAGTGTCCCTTCTCCCTTCCCTGCATCCCTCTGTCCCACTCTGCCAGGGCCCCTTCACACTGCAGCTGAGAGGAGAAATATCACACTGAAACCCCGCATGGCAGTCGCAGAGTTGATGCTGGGTTGGTGTAAATCATTGGATTATCCTCAGGGGCAGGAAGGAGATCTTCCTTCAGCCGCTGACACAGAGTCAGGAGCTCTCTGGAGGGTAACACGGTCCTGGGGACAGCTGTTTACGGGGAGGAAGTGGTTCCAGTCTGTTTTGGGAATCCCAACCCCTGCACTGGGCTGGGCAGCTGCTCATCCTGCCCAGGAATTAAATTTGGGAATTAGGGAAATGATGCCTCACATCTGACAGTGATGTGACAGTAATGACACAGCATGGATGTGGCTTGAAAAATTCCCCAGCAACTCGACCAAAGTGGGTTTTTGAAGAAGTGCTTCCATCTGCTTTCGGGTAACTGAACTCCCCTCGAAATCCTCACAMAGTAAATACCTTTATAGGCACCTTYCCTGCTCACATTCCACCCAGAGACTCCACCTCTTGTGCCACTTCTCCCAATCCCCCTGTCATTCCCAGGGAAGGGTAGGAAGGATGCACTGTGCCTTGCTGGGCAGGGATGCATCCCCAAGGAAGATGAGGTGGCTGGAGCAGGAATTTTCTCATCACAAAGCAGGTTTGCCATTTCCAGCCATTTTTTGAGTTTAGATCTTGCTGTTACTTGCAGCGGCTCGGCTCACAACCGGTCAGCTGGGAATGAAGGGGTTACTTAGTGACCAAAAAAAAAAAAGAAGACTCAGAGCTTCCTCTTGCCATGGCGAGGGACGGAGAGGGAAGGGGGTTCTGGGGGTTTGTGCTTTCTGCTCTTTTTAAAGGTCATGTTGGAATAAAGCCATTGGCAAAGCWGCTGCCGGGGAAACGGCTTTGCTTTTTGTGTTTGTGTTTCTGAAACTTTTAGTGGAAGCATTTAATTCTGGGGGAAAAGCAGCGTTGTCACTCAAAACCCWACAGCCGTGCCAAAAAAGGTGGTTTGAGGAGGAAATGAGACACTTCTGCTCGAGAAAACAAACAAAAGCAGCCCAGCTCAAGCTGGCAGGAGCCAGGGAGCAGCAGGGCAGGGGGGTGGATGGCTGGACATCATCCCTRTCCATCATCCCAGTCCATCACAACTGGGAGAGCATCACAGCATCCCAACCAGTCCATCCACAGGCGCTGACCTGCACTCACTCTACCCCAGTCCCTGCATCCCTGACCCTGCTCAAAACTCCCCAAAATCCTTGGGGCTCTGTGCAGGGAAAGGGTCTCTTCTCCCTTCTGGGTGGAGGACCCTGCTGCGTTTTGGCATTTTCCTGGGAACTCAGTGTTTATTTCAGAGGAAAAGCAGAGACTGTCACGAAACAACCCGGGTGAGTCATGACCCCCGGGTGAACGGGAGGAAGCAACTATCTTAAAAAGAAGACATCAGAGTCTGCGGGTAAGCCTTGCCCAAGGTCGCGACAGGAGAAGGTGGCTTTGAAAACTCCTGGGACACCCATGTGCGGGTGCTGGCTCTATCCCACAGGATATTTTTGGAAAAACAGCGGGGAAGGCCTCACCTTGGGAGCAAGAAGCTGGAAAATGAGGATTTTCTTGGTTTGGACCCTTTTCCTCGTGAAAGCCACGAGCACAGGTCAGGTAATTCCATCTCAGGGGTTCTGGCAGAGTTGTGGAGAGGTTGGGGCTGAGCCAGACCAGGAAGCTCACTGTGGTCGCGGCAAAAGCTCAGCTGATCCCAAACTTTTCCTCTGGCAGTTACCGAGTTTGATCTCTGAGATTTTCTTGTACTGCTGCCACGAGAAGCTTGGGAATAAGGCTTTTCACTTTTTTAATAAGACAAGCTTGATGGGGGTTCTTCTTTTGATGACTGGGGGCATCTCATCTCAGCACTGTCTGCCGGCACTGTGGGTTCACAGGCACAGCCTCCCTCGGGCTGTGCYCCCAAGAAACCCGGGCTCAGATCCCTCGTGGCTCCCTGATGCAACACCAGGACACATTTACAGCGCCTCTCTCYGTCCTCTGCAGGTGGCCAGGCGGTGACAGGCCCCAAGCAGGTGACAGTGGAGAAGGGCAGCTCCCTGGCAGTGTCCTGCAGCTACAAGCCACGCTTCGAGCTCAACTCCAAGTACTGGTGCCGCAAAAACTCCCTCCAGATTTGCTTGACCTACATCATCCAAACGGATGGCTYGGAGGTGACAGTGACGAGGGACAGGGTGTCCATCAGGGACAACCACACGGCACACGCATTCACGGTGACGCTGAGCCATGTCACACTGAGAGATGCAGGCCGGTACTCCTGTGGGGTGAGGAGCAAGGGGGGGATCCACCGGTGGCACAGCACCCAAGTGATGGTCTCTGCAGGTAAAACGGGGCTGGGAGCAAAGCTGGCAGTGAGCTTCCCCCTTTTYTCCTCTTCCTCCTCCCCAGTGCTCAGGGCATTGCCTGGGTACCTCCATGCCCATGCCCTGCACCTACATGGCTGAAGTCTCAGGGCAGAGGCTCCAGGCAGGGTGCAGGACATGGGGTGTGGGGGGCTACACCTCACTCTGACTCTGTTTCCTTTACAGTTTTTTCAAAGACAACTAGGGGCAGCRGTTTTTCACACACAGCTGGGGACGTGAACACACAGCCCACCAACCCTCCGTGCCCCAGGGACTGTGGGGAGCCTCCAGCGATGTGAGTCAGGGTTTGGCATCCAGGCAAGCCCCCAACAACATCCCCTGGCCAAAACCATCTTCTCCCCTGCATGTATCTCCCAGCTTTGGGTCCCCAAAGAGCATTGTGGGGACAAGTGGGACAGCTGGCAGACATGCAAGTGCCCCAGTCCCCATCCTCATTCCCAAGACTCTACTAAAGCTCCAGCACAACTTCCTTTCTCCTACACAGGTCGCAGATCAGTGTCATCTACTTGCTGCTTCTCCTCAGCATCAAGGTGCCCATAGCGCTGGCCGTGGTTTGTGGGGCAGACTGGGTGAGGAGCCGGTGCAGGAGCCATTGAAATCCTGCAACTCCKGGGGATGTCCAGCAGCACTGGGGCATGGGGCTGCACATTTGCCMAAATCCCTCACAGGGGCCAAAGGGAAACCCTCCTGCCCTCCATGCCCCTCGCCCTGCTGGACTGTGCCACCCATCACGGCCACCCCATGCCAGGAGTTGCTCAGCTCCTCGTGCTTCTCATCCCTGGAAAACCTCGGCCACTCGTGGCAGCCTCTGTGCTGGAGAGAGAAGGGTTTGGGGTGCAGAGAGCCTGTGCCTGCTGAGCTGCAGCTGCCAGCTGAAGACAATTTTGCAATAAAGGCTGGGTATCCTGCAGGTCCCTGTGTCTGCCTGTCTGTCTGTCCATGTACGCCTTTCCTGAGCTGCCGGCACTGCCCCGTGCCCACAGTAGCCGATGCTGATGCACACGAGTGTGGGGACAGGCTGAATTGTGCTGGTGGGGACATGGGGTCACAGGGGCCATGCAGGGACCTGCTCCACCATGGCCCAGCTGAGCCACGTCATGGGCACAGGAGCCCTGAACTCCAGGAGCCTCAGAGCAGCTGCAGGGACTGGGGACACGGGGAGGACTGGAGGAACCTGAGCAGGGCATGGGGCTCCTGAGGCACAGAGGGCTGTGCTGAGAACAGCCTGGGGGAATGGGCAGTGAAAGCAGTGGGTGCTCACATCCATGTGCAGTGGGACAGGGGCTGGGGATCCCCCTTTGCATTGCCACAGCAAGAACAGGGTGGCCATGCAGGAGCACTGCCCAGCCTGGGGGCTTGTCTGGGGTTCAGGTGGTCCCTGTGCCGTGCTGAGCCACCTCCCCCACGGRGTGTCCTGCCTGTCCAGAGGGGATGGGCAGTGTGGCAGTGAGAGGCAAGCTGTCCTGCCATGGAGAACACAGAAAGAGGAACCCCTGGTTCAGGGCTCAGGAGTCAGTGCACAGCAAGTTGACTCCGTGACCGAGGAGAAGCTGGGACTGCAGGAAACACGAAAAACCATGATCCTGCTGAATCTGCAGCAGTAACGGGGGTGCTACCAGAGGCAGAAGAGGAAGTGAAGGCCCAGGGACAGAATGAAGGGTAGCAGAGAGAGCTGCCCTGAAGTGTCCATGTGGCTCCTGCTGGCGCTGGCCTCGACACTGTTGGCAGGTAGGGCTGAGTGGATGCCGGGGCTGGAGCCCCACATGGATCCGCCAGGAGAGAAGGGAAGCATTGGAACAGCAGCAACACTCCCGTGGCTCCGTGTGTCTCCACAGGCTGCAGGGCGGTGAGGGGGCCCAGAACCGTGCGGGGATTCCTGGGGGGATCCCTCTCAGTCACCTGCACGTACCGGCGAGGCCAGGAGAAGTTGACGAAATACTGGTGCACACCGCGAGCAGTTATTCGTACCTGTGCTGATGATATCGTCATCACCTCGGAGTCGAAGCCCGAGGTGCAGCAGGGCCGATTCTCCATCCGGGACAACCGCACACACCGGGCATTCACGGTGACTGTGGAGCATCTGGGCAAGGAGGATGCGGGCACCTTCCTCTGTGGGGTGCGAACGGGAATGCTTCAGTTTGATGACAGTGCTGATGTGGAGGTGATCGTGGATCCAGGTCAGTCCTTGTACATTCCCTGCACAGCAGCAGTGACCACAGGCTTGGGGSGCTGGGCCAGACCAAGGGAGGAGATGTCACCCTGGCCATGGGGACATGGAGAAGGACAAGATGTCCATCTGGCACTCTGCATTCATTCCTCCTTCCCAACCCTGACGCTCCAGCCGGGACAATCACACACAGCTGTGGTTCACAGTGACTGTGGAGGGTCTGGCCAAGGAGGACAAGGGCACCTTCTGCTTCGGGGTGTGCAGGGGAATGTCTCTGATTGACGAGAGTGCTGCTGTGAACGGGATCGTGTTCTTGTGTCACA